CCATTACGTTAAAGAACTTATGTAATATAATGGTTGTGTTGTTGTTGCCATGGTATATTGCATCTTTTCCAACATTAGCATGTCCCAAAACACTTTACAGCCAATTAAGTATTTTCTGAAGAAGGGTCTAGGCCCAAAACATCAGCTTTCCTGCTCTTCTGATGCTGCTTGGCCTGCCGTGTTCATCCAGCTCTACACCTTGTTATCTAAGTATTTTTGAAGTATAGTCTTTGTAAGGCATGGTAACTACATCCTAATTACTTGTTCACTTTACTAACTGTTGTTATGGAGGTATATTATTTGAAATATTAGTTGCATTTGCCCATTACTATTGGGGAGTGCTGTTATCACTGAGCTATTCATCCAGAGACCAAGGCAATATTCTGGGAACTTGGGTTTGAATCCTGCCATGGCAGGTGGTAGAATTTGAATTCAATAAAAATTTGGAATTAGGAGCCTAATAGTAACCATGAAGCCATTGCTAATGTTGGAAAAACTCATCTGGTTCACTAATGCCCTTTAAGGAGGGAAGCTGCCATCCTTATACAGTCTGGCCTACATGTGACACCAGACCCAACAATGCTGATGATCCTCAAATGCCTCTGGGAGATGAAGAAATGGCATTGAATGCTGGCTATCCAGTGCTGCTCACATCCTGTGAATGACTTAAAAAAATACAAGCTGCTCAACGAGAGTCACTGAGCCTACAATACTTTCAGGGAGAGGTGGTGTGACCAAGTTAGGAAGGGTGAACTGATTCCTTTCCTCGTCCAATGTCATTATAACACCAACAAACTGTAGTCTATAGATTTGCTCAACTAACAATACATCTCAGGTATTAAATACATGCATTGAACCATTCTTTGGTTTACAAGTTGTCTTGTTCCTTTGAAACACTCCTCCGAGGTGGCTAATTTCACTCAGTTTACAGTGAATTGAAATCTTGATTTTTAGGCGTTTCAATGAAAATCTTTTGTGGAGTTGTCAGATTTTGACTAAATACTTTGGTGAAAAAGAATGCTATGCATTTTGATTGGCTTAGCCCTAACTGGTTCCTGTTATAGATGCATTGAATTCAGTGATACATTTACAACATAATTTGTATGTACAAATGACACTTACAAGAATGAAACAGTGAATCAGAAATAATTACACAGGTATTTCAAAATATATTTGTATTGTTTTTTTTGTTTGAACTGTAATATCAAGCAAAATCAGTAATTTCTCTGGATTTTAAAGCTTCAGTTATATTCTTTGAAACTGTTGCAAATGCATTCAGATACGAAAACAGGACTGTAACTCTCTGATGGACTTGATTCTGATTGTGCTAGAACTGATCAATGTGGGCGAATGTGACTGATACACAGCCTGGGTTTCTAAATGTATGGTGTAAAACTAATGTAAAACCAGAATTACAAATGCGTTGGTGTTCAGTAGCTTCTCTTCGCACTGTGTAGATGTAGTATTGAATTTTTGTAAACATTATTCTAGGTAGCACTGCTGCCTCCGTGTCAGAGAGCTTTACATCCAATATTCACTCTCCAGGCCCCAGGCTTGGGCAAATAATTTCACATGACACTGCAGTGGTGTACTGAACGAGTGCTACAATGCTGGGGGTACCGACCTGCATCTGAGATGTCACACTGAGACCTTCATGTAAATGTAGGGCCTTGGGGAGTGTTGTAGAACAGACGGACCTGGGGGTGCAGGTACATAATTCTTTGAAGTCTGTGTCACATACAGACAAGGTGTTTAAAAAGGCATTTGGCACACTTGCCTTCATTGCTCAGTCCTTTGAGTATAGGAGTTGGGAAGTCATGTTGAGGTTGTACAGGACATTGGTGAGGCCTTTTCTAGAATGCTGTGTCCAGTTCTGGTTGCCCAGTTATAGGAGGGATATTATCAAGCTGGAGAGTGTTCAGATGAGATTTACCAGGATGTTGCCAGGTAAGGAAGATTTGTTATAAGGTTATAAAGAAATCCTGGATAGGTTGGGACTTTTTCCACTGGAGTGTAGGAGGTTGAGAGGTGACCTGATAGAAGTTTACAAAAAAATGAGAGGTATAGAGAGAATTAATGGTTGTTGTCTTTTCCCTAGGATGGGGGATGTTAAGACTAGTGGACACGTGTTTAATGTCAGAGGAGAAAGGCTTAAAAAAGACACGAGACGTAACAGTTTTATACAGAGCTTGGTTCATGTTTGGAATGAACTTCCTGAGGAAGTGGTGGAGTCAGAGATAAAACAGTGTGGAACTGGAGGAACACAGCAGGCCAGGCAGCATCAGAGGAGCAGGAAAACTGAGTTTCGGATCTGGACCCTTCTTCAGAAATGGGGGAGAGGAAGGGGGCTCTGAAATAAATAGAGTGGGGGCACGGTGATCGAAGGTGGATAATGGAGCAGATAGGCGGGAGAGAAGATGGACAGGTCAAGGAGGTGGGGATGAAGCTAGTAAGGGTGAGTGTAGGTAGGGAGTTGGGATAGGGGTTGGTCAGTGAGAAGGAAGTGGTGGATGTGGGTACAATTACAACAAGTAGATAAGTACATGAATAGGAAAGGTTGGAAGGATATGGGCCCAGAACAGGCAGGTGGGACTAGTTTAGTTTGGGATTATGTTTGGCATGGAATAGTTGGACTGAAGGGACTGTTTCTGTGCTGTATGACTCTATGACTCTATAACCCAAAACAGAGGGCACACTTTGAATATGCGCATTGACCTGTTGCACCTTCCTGGTCAACCTTCGTTCTCAATCAACAGCACGAAAACAAGTGATCTGGTCATTTATCTCACTGAGGTTTGAGAGCTATATTTTACAAATTTGGCACGTTTGCCCCTGTTATCACATTTCAAAATTCAATTTACTTTGAAGCTCTTTGGAATAGCCAAAGACCATGAAACTTGTTGTATAAATACAAATTGGTGCTTCAAGAAAATCAGCAACCTGCTGTCGTCAGCTTAAAATACAGCTGCTGGGGAGGCAGAGATCCGTGTGCAGGAGCCGGTTCTCTATAAATTGGACTTTCGTGCAGCTATCGATTTTAGACACGGACTGTAGTATGAGTCTCAACAGAGAGATGGAAGCTTCAATGCGCAATCTACAGTTTTCATTAAAGTGACACGGATTATTTCAACTAAACATCTGACGGCGTGAACAATGCAAGCGATTGTACTTTTCCCCATTACACTGTAGGGCAGTTGATAAAACGTTTAGCGGTAATCATCGTTCTATTGTGTAGTCACGGGGCAAGTTACTTCACAGCATCCTGTTAAATGAACTTTACATTAATCTGCTGACACTGGGACATTCCCCCTGTTGTTTCCGCTGTTCTTACTTAGCTATGCACAGAATGACGAGAAAAGGAAACCGCAGAATTACTCTTCAAACAGCGAGATTAACATTTTGGAGAAACTCCGCAGGTCTGGCAGCATCTCTGGAGAGAAAGCACAGTTAACTTTCAGGTTACTTGTCCCGAAACATTAACTCTGTTCCTCTCTCCACAGCAGCTGCTGAGTTTCTGCAGCGCTTTCTGGTTTTGTTTCAGATTTCCAGCCTCCGCAGTTCTTGGTTTTAATTTCAGTTTCAATATTCTTGGCCAAGGTAGCAGACCAATAGTGAATAAATTCAGGTAATTTACTCCGTCCTCCAGCTCAGGGAAAGTTTGTAAAATTCAATTATGGCTAAAGGAGCTCATTCCATACATTAAATCCCTTTGTGTTCTTGTCGTTAACTACAATTTCTATCCTTATATCCACACAAGCGGAAAAGAGTAAAAAGGCTCTGTTATTACAGCATGAGAAAGAAACTTGAAAGGAACCAGCAAGTTTCTTGATTTGAACATTTCTTCCAAGCCTTTTCGCTGACTTTTACACAACTATTGAATTATTCCCTCAGGTTAGAGAGCCAGGAATGGTAGATTGGATTCGAGCTTCCTCATTGTTTCTTTCAATATTGCCTTTTCTGTTTTTTTTATTTCAGATTCCCAGAATCATTCCCAGCATTGTACATTGATGTCAATAACCAATATTCTGTCTTCCCTGGCCCTAACCCCTAAGCATCAGTCATACAGGCCAGGTACCAACCTCCCCCATCCCCACCCCCCTCCAAGTGCCTGCTCATCGCAAGAATTAGTTTCAGCATAAAAGCCCACGGAGGTTCAACAATAAACAAAACCAGAAAGAAATGATCAGAATCTCACAGCTCTCCCCCAGACTGGAGGAAGAAAGATTTTTTTTTAAATCAACATATTCAGGGATGTTTTGACGAAGCTCTGGAGCAGGTAGGACCCAGGGCTCCTGGCTTAGAGGTAGGGACAGTTCCACTGTACCACAAGAACCCTTAGGAGTAAGGATTTCTTTTAAAGTTTAACCTATGTTTCTAATCAACTGTTCAGAGATGCTATTACATACCTCTACAGCGGGTGGGACTTGAACCCGGGGCTCCCGGTCTAGTGTAGGGGCACTACCACTGAACCACAAGAGCCCTCAGGGGTAAGGAGTTGGAAAAGATTGGAATTGGTATCAGTTGCTTTCTCTAGCAATGACTGGGATGGCTGCATAATTAACAGGGATTTAAACCGGGGAGCTGTGTCCGCATCGTTAAAAACCATTCAACTGTGATGTAAGTAGAACGAGGCATTCAGTTTGTTTTCATGTATTACATGTAGGCTATACACCGTGGTTAGTCCATCTAGTTAAACAGATGAGCTCCGATAATATCTCAGAGGCAGCAGAACTAGTTAACTCGCATTCGAGCCGCTGTTTACACGGACTCCAATTCACACAGAGCAGTGTACCCAGCTCCCAGGCTAATCCCGAACTTTCTCCACTGCCAGCATTGGAGCAGGACTCACCCTGGGGTCAGGATACAGCTCCCCCTGAGCGAGCTGTTATCGATACCTGACAAACACATTGTATTGCCTTACGCTGCGTTTCTAACACTGCGGCTAAAACACACTGTGCAGCTCAGAACAATGCCCACCGCTCACAAGTCCCTCTACTTACCTCGGAAAGCTACTTTGGCGATCCTGTCTCCTTTCCCTCGGAGGTCGGTGACGGTTTTCAGGTGGACCAAGAGAGCCATGCTCTCGGAGTGAGTGGGAAAAGCTGGAGCTGGGGGAAGCCACGCCGTTTCCAGCCCCTCTCAGTCTAACACACTGCAGTGCCGCTCGCTACCCTCTCAATAATTCACAAGTTTCATTAACAAAGCGCCTTTCGCGGATCGCTGACAGACATTGTTTATTGAAGCCACTCCACGATCATGTTTACTGTCATTCAACCGGCGCCGGTTCTGCTCATCCAGCTGTTGGCTGCGGTAATTTACATTTCAAACTGCAGCAGATGCATTTTCCACGTGAACCCTGGCTCTGCTCGCACCTAGTTCCTACACACACACACACACACACACACACATCGATGTGGAACAGCGTGCTGGTGCATTGAGGGGTATCCTGTAGCACACAATATTCCTACTCTGTCATGTCCTCAGGACCCCGAAGAGCGGAACGGGGAAGTGGTCTCGTATATTGTGATGGAAAGTGACAAGCTTGAAATGAATGATGCGCTCTCTGTAATATAATCTGTGGGTTGACCAGTACAAAGCTCAGCCAGATAAGCCAGATAATTTGATGAAATGCAGCAGGAAAAGTACAACTGAAAGGGAACAAAAAGACATATCGGCTTTACTGGAATAACCTTAAAAAAAAAGTTTAAAACAGATCCAAACGTGATCAGAGAGAATATATATACATATCAGAGATGAAGACTGCTCCGGGTTAATTTTGAGGTACAGTGTTAAAAATAGCATAGTGCTGCAGAAAAGGAGATAACATTGTCTTTCCAGCAATTCCCATTTGTTAGGTCTGATTTACAACACAACTTAATGAATGTGCAAGTTGTTTTGGCCAGTTTCATTTCTCTGCGCCAAAAGATCGCAGACCGTGCTGCTCAATTGGAACAGCCAACTATTCGTTAAATGGTTCCAGACTTTTACTTCCACAACTTTTATCTGGAAGCTCATTTTACACATTAGTTACATCATGATTTCAATAACTTTTTTATTGTTCATTGATGGGATCTGGGCCTAGGACCAGAATTTATTGCCCATCCCTACTTGCCCTTGAGCAACAGGTGATGAGTTGCATCCTTGAACCATTGCAGTCCATTTGGTGTAGAATTTGTAAGACAATCAGGGAGATCAGTTCAACAACACCAGGCTGGATCACAGGAGTTCAATGAGTTGTTCTCTTTGACTCCCTTTCGAATTTTTTCACGTTGTCTGCATGCCAATGCTCTATTTCATTCATTGATTGAGTATTTGTTCTTCCATCATATACAAAGGCATTTGCTCCTCCCTCAACAGGGGATTTACAGAGAGCGATGTGTGGAGGTCAGACTTACCATTATCTCCACATAAGAGAGACAGTGAGAGAGACACACACACAGAAAAAAAAGAATCTTTTGATTCTTTCTCTTTGCAGACTGTATTTCTCTGCCCCGCTGGGCCCACACAGGCCATGGTCACCTGGTCAAGAACCAATCAAAATACTGTTGCCAAGTATTTATCTTTTAGTTCAGAACGTATTGTCTCTGTAGAGTCTGCTTCTGCTTTCACTGCCCCAGGAAAAACACAAGATTACACACAGCTCCCAATGTCTCCCAGTAAACATGAATTTTAAAACTGCATGTCTTTTCACAGTTGGCAGAAAGGCTCTCTGTCATGGTGAAAACCTGAGTCAACATAACCCATAAAGCTTTCAGGTCTTGGCATCAAATGCATTTGAATTGTTGCTGGCTGTTCATCCAACATCTGTTTGTTCCTGCAGTGATGGTTATTTCTACAGAAATGTCTTTCATTTCTCATTGATGCCCCAAATGCAAATACAATTGACTGCCCTTGCTGCATGAGGGTTGCTCTCAGTCTTGTCCCACTGGCATCATACAGCGGGTTGGCTACATTGTTGACCGTCTATTACCTCAGCACTGAATTGTCAGCAATACTCGTTTTATAGAAATGAATGTAGCTTCTTGTCCTGTGCCACGAAACCATTGAATATTCTTAGCAGTGAGTCTGCATGGAACATCACACTGTCACATCAAATTAGGTAAGAACTTGGCTAGGTCGACGTGAGGGCAACTAAAACTTTCCCTGGGAGATGTTGCATTGATCTCTCACTCTTACCTGCTGTGTAATTTTTTACGATCTGTTCAGTGTGTTATCCTGCAAATTTCTTTTGGTATCTTCAGGGGTATCCGTCCAAGCTTTAGACTTGTTTGGTTATGATAAGTGAATTTTGCTTCCTAACTAGGATTGCCTCATAGCGTCTCAACTTTATTTTTTAGGAATTCATTCATGGTTTACCACCTTGAGCACTTCACCTGGGTGTGTAAAGCTCATGATGCTGCACAAAGCGCTGGTATCTATCTGACAGTTCATGTTTAGAATCATAGAAACATAAAATCCTTCAGATGTGGAAGCAGGCCATTTGGCCCCTCAGGTCTAGAATGACCCTCTGGTTTACTTGATGCATTCCTTCTGCAGTCATCATTCCAACAATCATAAACCATTCATCACTTTGACAGCAGGCAGAGCTGACCTGTTCTATAGCATAAAGTGATTCATCAGAAATAGCATTCAACCTCTTTCCAGCAGCCATCTGTATAGGTTTGCTTTCCTTCATTCAAGTGAACAACTTACTTACTTACAATATGAAACATCTTTGGCAATTCAAGTACATGCTTGACATGTTTTTGTTTCTTTTGCATTGTGCTCTTTGCGATATGTTCGTCCTGCTCCAGCCTTGAATTTTCTGTTGCTTCTTCTGTAAAAAACATTTTCCTTTTCTTTATTGTATTGGGCCTAGTTTTTCTTCATTCAGTTATAGAATGTTGATGTTGTTGGCCAGACTAGCAAATGTTGCCTGTCAATAAATGCCCAAAGGACAATTAAGAGTTAACTGTATTGATGTGGGTATGGAGTGACATGTAGGCCAGACCATACAAGGATGGTAGATTTAATTCCCTAAAGGATATTAGTGAGTCAGATGTATTTTTACAATAGTTGACAATGGTTACCTGTTTGTAATTAGGCTAACCTTTCATTCCATACATTATGAAAAGCACCATCATTTCTCCTATTAATAAATTCTAGCAAATGATTGACTACCTCAGAAATTCTGGGCATTTTGCTAATTTCCTTGAGAGCACATTTCTCTTCTCTGAGCAGTTGTACTTTCACAGCTGGATCTCTGAATTTTAAGACAGTCCTACCTCTGGTGGGTTCATATTTTAGATGTTCACAATCACACGAGTCAGCCATTTATCTCAATGCAGTCACATACTGGACAATATTCTCCCATTCTTCCTGACCTATTGTTAAATCGATACCTTTTATAAATAACAGAAATAGTGGATTCAAAATAGATCTTTAAGGCCTTTTAAATTTCTCCAGTGAAGTCTAGCCTGAAATACAACTTGCAGTAGTCTTTCTCCAGCACTGATAACAAGAGTTGCCATAGTTATTTGTTCAGGTTTTCTGCTTAACTCTCTGATTACCTCATAATTTGCCAATGAGATTGCAAGAAGTTACAATTGTGTTTCAAATTAACTTCAATCTCGACAAGAGCAGGTACTGGAAAATTGAAAGCCATAATGACTCATCCATCAGTTATAACAGTTCATTAATGGCTCTCTTATAGCTCTCAGCATCCACACAATTTCAGCTGTATACATGTAGCATTCTGTTCAAATGACTAGTTTTAATGGCTTCTGCCTTCATGTCTCAATACAGAATGTTAACTCTGATTTCTCTTTACGGATGCTGCCAGACCTGCTCAGCTTATTCAGCAAGTTTTGTTTTTGCACGTGGCTATATACCTGAGTTTGACAGCAGTATTCCCAGCTCCTTGCTTATTATGCTTGTTCATCTCATTCCTTTGCATAGCTTCGTGCAAAATCTTTCATTTGGCAATGTAGAAATTTGTTTGGGTGAAAATGTAAACTATAACTTTGCTTTGGAAATTAGTTAAATTTGCAACAAGGTTTCTGTCCAAAGTGGAAACCCTCTCTATATTTATATTAAAATCTCATCATTATGATTTTAAGTAAACATATTGCCCAAGACAAATTTTAGATGTTTTCTTTTATTTGTCCGTGCTGAATATGAATGTGAATATTTGTATTTTCTAACTTTGGAGTTATTGACTCAATTTTAATAAACCAGCAGCAATCATTTATATATTTAAATGAAGAAGATTAATTTGTTTCTCACATACTTGTGCCAAATGTTCATAAAATGTAATATCTCACTCACTCAATTCTCCTACACTATTACAAACAAACATTATACGGAGATAAATATGATACAGTAATTATAAAACCGGAATTTGACTCTGTCTCTATTTCAAAGTATGCTGTTTCTTAGCTGAGTTGATTATTTTGGCTGGGGTGAAGGTCTTGAAAATGCTGAGAATTTTTTCTTGTGATAGCATTTGATCTGACTGGAGGTGAACTTGCTGGTGGGACAGTTGAGAGGACAGTGCCCTTGTGTCTCCTTCAAGATTTTACAAATATTACTTGGCTGCTCTGCTGACTGTAGTAATCTGATGGTCTTTCTTGGATGAGTCTCTCACTTTCTCATAAAGATCTGCCTAAAAGCTGTTTGAATGCTATTGGAATAATTTCTTAAAACAGCATATTCCAGAGCCAACCAGAGAACGGGTGACACTACATATGTTCTTGGGCAAAGAGGTAGGATTAATTAATGATCTCATATTGAAGGCACATCTAGGCAGCAGTGACAATGATATGATTGAATTTTAATTCAGTTAGAAAGAGAGGAGTGGGTGCTATTGTATTTCTTAAAACTTATGATGGCATGAAAGCAGAGCTGGATAACATGAATGGTTGTAGTGGTAGTGGATTTTAACTTTCCTAACATAGACTGGAACTGCCGTAGTGTTAAGGGCTTGGATGGAGAGGAATTTGTTAAGTGTGTACAAGAAAATTTTCTCATTCAATATGTGGATGTACCTACTGGAGAAGGAATGAAATTTGACCTTCTCTTGGGAAATAAGGCAGCGCAAG